AAAAAAAAAAAAAAAAAAAAGACAGAGGTTCATTCTTTTGCAATTAAGAGATTAATTCTCTTCAATTTTTTACAAAAATACATGACCATGCAGAAACATTACTAAGGGCCCTCTCAGGTCCTTAATGGTTTCTGTTCAAATTAGGAGCCCTGAAGCTTAAACTTCATTAGCTTCATAGAAAAATTAAGCTCTGATTATAATTATTAGTTTTTACACTTTTTCTTTACATTGGGATGCTGCATAGTTGTTGTATTATGAATTCATTCAGTAATTTATTTAATTTGTATCCATTCCTCTGAGTCCGTTTTCCTTCATCCATTTTAATACAACTGCCAAAGCACCTTTACTTAAATAATGCATTACCTATGTTTCTTCCTCAATTAGATCTATCAAAGATTCTTTATTGCCTGTAAAATAATTCACAAGTTTTTGATCTGGAATTCAAACCATTCCTCATTCAAAGCTCCTTTTACTTCTTCCACAGTTTCCTGGTGCAAAACCACTGATCCAGCATGAATCTTCTCATTAATTCTAGATTAGTCCCTACACTTCCCTATTCTTCACAGTTTCTGCTCAATTGTACTCTTGTCTTAAACTACAGTGTAACATCCAAGTATTCTTAAAACAATCCCTGATCAAGCCCAGTGCTCAGTAATTTCTCTTTCTTGTAAACTTCCTTGGAAAATTTTAATCGTAGCAGTCATTTGTTACTTAGCATAGATATTACCTATTTCTAATTTTTAAAATATGAGATTTTTCTCTAATACAAATTTACGTCTCTACTCTTCTAAATTTTACCAAGTTCAATGTGCTACATATACATAGTATATATTTGCTGAGAATGTGCCCAACATGAATATTGAAAATAAATTGGATCCTTTTCAGGTTTAATCTAATTATTAATAGTTAACTATTTGCTATCTGTACTTGCTAATGGTAATCTAATATGATATAATAATTTTATGATTTTAAGGAATAATATGTTAGTAATTTTCTTATATTCTTCTAAATTTCTTTGTAAAAAACTTTTTAGTTTTAAAAAATATTGATGTAAAGAAAGGAAACAAAAACACTCAATTGATGTCTTAGCCATCAGTCTTTGAAAACAAGTAGAACAGAGAAAAAATAGTAAAAATAGTACATCTGAAAGGTATTTGTTGAAATTAATTCCAGAACATTATTTCTACCTGGACAGTAGATTTGCATTTTATATTCAACAATTGCAAATTAGGTAAAGATTTGTATAGTAAAATTATTTCTGCATGTACTTTAAATTATCCATAAACATATAAATATGTGTATGTGTGTGTGTACATTCAATACCTTTACAGTATATGTATAATTGTGAAATAAATAAATGTGAAGCATACCCTAGAATACAAATGCAAATATTTTACCATATTTTTAAATACATAAAAGAGTTATTGACAGTTAAACTTATGTTAATTTAATAGCATAGGAAGCAAACCATTTGAGAAGCAGACTTGTGCACATTCAGAGTAAAATTCTAGGAATGAGCCCATTGGCACTAGCAATGTCTTGTGACCTTAAGGGAGTTGCTTAAATGTGGCTCAGTTCAGTCATCTACCTATTTGAAAGAGTAATAGTCTCCTATTTCACTGTGTTGCTTTAAGTATTGAATAAATGTGCTTAGGTCTGTGGCTGGCATATAATTAACACTCAATAATATTAATCTTGATAAGTTTCTGAAACACTCTCCAAGTGATAATATTGCTATTAGAATAGAAACTGCTATTGGAAATTTAAGCCCAGGTAAGATATTTGAATTCATACTCAAATAGATAAAACTAAGGAAGGAATAAAGAAATTTAAATGATCTATTATGTCAACATATGTGTTACCAGTTAAATCAAATTAAACTTCAGAATGATAGTTCAGAATTCATATTTGCTTGATTATTAACATATATATGCTATTTTGTTTCTTATTTTCTCAGAACAAAAAAGCCTAACTCTTCAACCCTTATCTTTTTAATAAACGAATGAAAATAAAATAAAATGTAAAATTCACACTGGAAGCAAAATTAGAGTTAAGGTGAGCCATTTAATATGAGAAAATGACCAATGCAAGAGGAGGATATCACAATTCTAAATACGTATGTAAGCATAATCATAGCCCTACAATATATAAAGATTGACAACATTAAACAGAGAAATACACAAAACCACATTTATAATGGGAGATGTAATACACCCTTTCAATATCTGATAAAAAAAAATCAGGCAAAAACATAGTAAAAATATAAAATATTTTAAAAAAGGAATTACAAACTTGACTTGCTGATATAGGTAGAATTTTGAATAAAGAAATAGTCATCAAATTTTAAAACAGTATAATTATTTAGAATATGTCTTCTGATCACAGTGAAATTAAACAAGAAATCAATTTAAAATATAACTAGAAAGCCAAATTTCCCAGAAATTTGCCATTTAGAAAAGTTTTAAAAATAAATAGACCATTACATTCAAGAACAGCTTGGCGATATAAACTTATATCCAGTACCTGATTTATGACAAAGGTAAAAGCATGTCAATACAGAGGAAAGAATGATACTCTCATTAAATAATGCTATAACAATTGGTTATATCTATTTTTAAAATGCATCTGGAGCTGTTTGTTATACTATACACAAAAGACAATTTTAGTTGTTCTGAAGGTCTTAAATGTGAAAGATAAAATAATTATTTTAGAAGAAAAGCATTGTGTTCTAGGATTAGGCAAGATTTCATTAAATAAGACACGTAACGCACTAATCACAGAAAAAAATTTGAAAATTTGCTCTATTCTAAAATTAAGGAATTTTGTTTATTATTATAAAGGACATGTAATACTGAATGGAAAGAAAACCCACAGGCTGGAAGAAGGTATTTATAATACATATTATAAGAATATTTTCATATCTAGAATATATAAATATTTATAAACAATTCCTGTAATGCAATAAGTCAAAGACAGACAATAAGGAAAAAAGATGCAAAAGATCTGAATAGAACCTTCACCAAAGAGGATATCTAAATCACCAATCACCACAGGAAAGTTTCTCAACTTCAAGATGATATGGACAGGAGACAGGGAAATTGTGGGTTGAAGAGGGTGGTTCACCGGCAAATGTGGCCCTGAAAGAGGACAGGCATTTCACACCCATAAAGCTGCCTTTTGGCCCAGCATGCCCTCCTGTTCTACCCCCATATAAACCCGAAACTCCAAGCTCCAGAACAGACCTGCAAATGAGATGAGGAGGCAAGCAGACCAGCAAAGGCCGAATGATGCAGCAGAGAAGAGAGGAGGTACATCTGATCTATGAGGGGAGTTCGGCCAGGGACAGTTAGAGAAGAGTCCAGCCACTGGGAGGCCCGACTCAGGACAAAGGCCACCTTCCCACTCCATCTTGCTGATAGCCCCCTCCACCACTCAATAAAACCTTGCCCTCCTTCCTCGAGCCCCCAAGTGATCTGATTCTTTTGGGACACTGGGCAAGAGCTCGGGATACAGAAGGCTGTTATACTGTCCCCCAGCCATGCAATAAGGAAGAGGGTCCATTGAGCTGATTAACACACAAACCATCTGCAGATGACAAAGCTAAAGGAGCACACTGTAACACACGCCCACTTGGGCTTCGGGAATCGCAGACACCAGAGCCAGAAAGCACTCACCCCAGTTCTGGCACCTGCCCATCTGTGTGCTCCCCCTCCAGTGAGGGGTTTGAGCCGCAGGGCAACCTAACAGGTGAGTTGCGCCCCTGCCACATGTCCTGCAAGGGAAATCTGGGATCTCTCATATTTCAATTAGTTATCAAAAAAATTCATATTATAACCACAGAGAATTATTGCTTTGTGTTACCAGAAAGGCTAAAATTATGAAGATTAAAATTAACAAGTATCTCTGAAGGTGTGGAGAAACATGGACACTGCTGATAGAAATGTCAAGTGTTATAATCCATTTGGAGAATTGTCTAATTTTATCCATTACACCTAATGTAAGTTACATCCTAATGTTTCACTCCCAAGTGTGCACTTACCAGAAATGTGGATTGTGTTTACCAAACAGCACATAACATCATGCTCATAGCAGCACTATTCATAATCAGCTCCAAGCTAAAATCTGCTCCAACGCTCCCTAACAGGCACACAGACAAACAAAATGTGAAATATTCAAAAAATGGAATGTTTCATCATAGTAGGAATTAACCATCTATAACTTCATCTAACAATGTGTTTGAATGGTCCAAACATAATTTTTAGTGAAAAGCTCTAAATATAAGAGTACATTGCTTCTTTTTCATTGTACAAAATACAAAAGCCAGACAAATACCTTCCATGTTCTTGCAGATCAGAATCATGGTCTCTGTGTGTGGGGGTGTGGGAGAGGCTTGAGAGGAGTATTGACCAAAAGGTAGTACAGGGGTTTTCTGGAAAATAATAATGTTCAGTGTTTTGACCGTGGTGGGGGTTTCATAGGTATCTTACCTTCTCAATATTCAGTATGTGATTTATTTATGTTTTCCTTATACACATTATACTTCAAATTTTTAAAAATCAGCATTCCAATTTGTTGATTTATGGATTATTAAACCTATTTAGGTCAAATGAAAGTGAGCCCGTTGCTTCATACACATATATAAAAAGCATTTAGAAAACTAATTTCATGAATTGCTAGAAAAGCAGGAGCTCCAAATCATCCAGCACTTCATTCTTGGGCAAAGTTTGTACACATTGTCTAGGTGCTGATTGTGAAAACATTGCCTAAACCAAAGTTTTATAAGTGATTTATTTTAAAGTGTCTCTTATTTTCTGTTCTGAGATTTATACATAATAGACCTGAATAATTGAAGGGTTTATGAAATCCAGAGGGTGTCACCAACTGCTGCTTTTCACACACTAAAAACATGAATATTTTCCAAGCTTAATAAGAAACAGTCCAAGAGCAGGTCACAGCATTAACATTCAGTGGGAGTGCAGTGAGAATCAGGTTCAGCCTCCTGGATTGCTGGGCTTGTGGTTGATTTTTTTGTTTACTCTGCAAAAGTTTCTGATAGGCGGAGCATCTAGTTTCAACTTCCTTTTGCAGCAAGTTCTTTCCTGCACTAATCACAATTCTTGGAAGAGGAGAACTGGACGTTGTGAACAGAGTTAGCTGGTAAATGTTCTCGTAAAAGACCAAAAAAATGAGACCTCCAGCAAAGATTATTTGCCTTATGCTATGGGCTGTTTGTGTAGCAGAAGGTAAGATTAAAAGACAAGAGCTATTTTCCTAAAACTGTATTATGAAACGTTTGCTAATGATGCTTTTCACAGTAGTAATAAAACTTGATTTAGAAAATGTGCTTAAGTATTGTGTAGCTTAACAATTGAGTGGCTTTTGACATTGTTAAGTTTAAAAAATGTAAGTATCTTATTTGAATGGTATATCTGAATATTTATCTTAATTTTATTTAATATAAAATTTAAGAAAATATTTAAACAATTGTTTCTGAAAAACTATAATGTGTAATAATCATGTCCCTTGTAATTATCATAAAATATAACTTTTTTTTTGCTTAGAAGTATAACCAAAATGAATCATATGAAGGCTGTGAATATATAGTCAATAAAAGCTATCAAATCACAATGATTAGATTTATTTCAGATATGATTTTTACTCTTTCTAAAGAAAAATTCATTTATGATTTACAACTGTGATTGCCATAACTTTAGAAGTCTGATAAACAAGCATTACTTGTATTATCAGAATAAAATATTATATACATTTAAAACACAATTGAATATACAATATTTGTAACAGTTAAGTTGTTCAATAGGCATTTTTTCCTGTAGCTGTATATAAGATATTCTTGAAGAGCAGTCTTTTGGTATAGTGAACATGAGTGGAGTTTTTTTCTGACATCAGCAAGACAATTTCTAGATTGATAATAAAATTTAAATATATCATTGCTTTTTGACAGATTAAAAAACTTACTTTTGGAGGTTTGTTTTCCTAGTTTGTGACAGGTAACCAGTTATGTGAAAGATATTTGATCAACATTTTTAAACGAAATAAATTACATACTTTTCATAATTTCCAAAAACTTTTCACTTAGTCAAAAAATTTTGATTGAGTCACTATACATAGCCTCTAGGAACTGAAGAAAATTAGCAAGTACACAAAGTCTCTCTGTTTAAGTCTTCCAAAAATAAAGGCAGATATGCTTTTATAGTTTATCCTTCAGTAATTAAAAAAACATTCAAATGTGTTTAATACCTTGTGAAAGATTGAACTTTCATTCAGCTCTATTTTCTAATTTTATTGCTTGTTATTTGGCTTGTAAACTTTTTATATAGCCACTTTTAAATGAAGAAGACAATCATTTCCTTGTACATATAAATATTACAATTAGTATTTTAAAATGAAACATTTTTGTATTTGCAAACAGTTCCAGAACAATGTTAACGTTACCAATCATCACAGACATCTTTTTCTGTTTCTTTGTGTAAATGTTTATGTATTTTCTTACAAATTTAAGGGAATGTTTTCTGTTTCTTTGTGTAAATGTTTATGTATTTTCTTACATATTTAAGGGAATGTTTTCAATATTTCATACGTACATACTGTTTGCTCAGATTTTACATAGATATTATTTGTCATATGAAGGAGATTTGTTTTATTTCTAATCTTTAAAATCAAGAATCAATGGCGAGTTTAATAAATAGTTTAAGTTACTAAAAAGTTGAATTTGAAATATTAAAATAGAGTACATCGAATTATATGTGATAATTAAACAGTAGTGATTTAAACTTATTTGCATAATTGATTATTGCTGGGTTGTTTCACTTGAATTTTATTATTCATCAATGTCTGTTTAAATGTGATATCAGTTTCTACTGGTGAATTGAACATAAGCACTAGATATTTCATGGTGAAAATGAAATAAATCTGATTATTTCCTAAAAGATAAAGCACAACTTTAGTATTTAAAGCAATGCTTAGGCCAGCCTCACAATTTTCATAAAAGCACATGTAATACAAAAGTAAATTGAGAAAAAGTACATAAAATTTCAGTGGATATCAAATTCCCGTTTTATTCCTTGTTTCCCAAGTACTAACACTAAACTAGTTTGAGATGTCCATCAATTCTATTAATCTACCATATCTAACAAACTTTGACTTAACAGAGTAGCCTTGATCATGAAAAATACTCACATATACTTCAATATTTGCTTCTGTTTATATTTCCCATATTGAACACTGAATACTAAATTGAGAAAAGACAGTTTGAATACTATCACAATCTGCTTTACTCAACTGCACATATTTTAGCATTACTTCTGCCCTGTTAAAAGTGAACGTTCCCTTTGGGAGGCCAAATTGGGCAGATCATCTGTGGTTGAGAGTTTGAGACCAGCCTGACCAACATGGAGAAACCCCGTCTCTACTAGAAATACAAAATTAGCTGGGCATGGTGGTGCATGTATGTAATTCCAGCTACTCGGTAGGCTGAGGCAGGAGAATCACTTGAACCCAGGAGATAGAGGTTGCAGTCAGCTGAGGTGGCGCCATTGCACTCTAGCCAGGGCACCAAGAGCGAAACTCCATCTCAAAAATAAAAATAAAAAAATAAAATTATAGTCAGCAGGAGTAATTTATAATTTCAGCTTTCTATTTTAAAAAAATATATTTGGGTCTACACAGTACCTTTATAATGCAGTGCATTGTGTACGGTCACATTCCCAATTGTATAGGAATGTTAATTGCCTCCTTGTTGTAATAGTCTGTAGCTCAGGGAGTCACTCCAAGCTACTGAGAATTGGGTCATATTTACAGGACAAAGTTTCAAATAGCAGTTTCTCAATCGTACCACCTAATTTCACTTTTTTGAAATATATTATTACCAAGCTTTTCAATATATTATGACCAAGCAGATTTGTTAGAGTTAGGGTCTAACAATGGTATCCTGTGTGAAATTAGGCCGCAGCCCAGAAATTCCAAGATGATTAAAGTGAATAAATTAAAACTCTACTGAAACATGTTCAAGTAAATGCTGGCTGTGTTGTTAGGCAGACATGCTTTCTAATCCTGGAGATTTAGAGTGCAAAAACGTAATTTCAGTTCCCAAAAGACGTTATAGATCAAAGACTGAAGGATTCCATTATAATCAGAGAAAGGAGAATAATATTTTAAAATCCTAAATTTTATGTTTGAGTCTCGGTGTGATAAATAAGAATTTCCCCTTCTTCCCCCAAGCCCCTACATTTTCAGAAGTCGTAGTATGGGTAGTTACCTACATGGTGTGATTTAAAGTTGTGCAATGGCCCAATTGTCTTCAATATGTCGTCTCCTCCTAAAATACTTTACATATTGAAATTATCACCATAAATTTAACCAATCTGTCATTTACACAGAATGACAAATACACTGAATACCTACTTTAGGAGAGTCAAATTTATTATTATTCATAATTTACTTCGAATTATTGTAATCTGAAAACTTCCCTGAAACAAGCTCAGTGGGCAGGAAAGGGTAGAAATGGATGTTGACGAGGGTATGAATAGGACCAAGTGATTCTGGAAGGTGAGGTATTCCCAGGTAGGACAGATCTGCTGACCGAAGTGCTATAGTGGGTCTATAAGAGAAGGGTTAGAGAAAAAGAAAATGCCCACAGAAATGGCACGAGCATGAGACGTCTGCCAAGGCAAGCTTTGCTTATTTTAAATTTAGGCATATCCTGGGAATGCATATGCTACTCTTTTGCCTACATATAATTTAAACTAAAAATGAAATATCTAAGTATTGCTAACTAAAATTATTCTTAGGTAGAAGTAAGTTCCCAAATATAAAAGCAGATTAGTAAATGTGTGGCCTTTGGTTTCTAAGATCTGAGCCAGTCTACACTGATCCACTTTTACTTGCTTAATCCCCATTTGTTTATTCTTTTGCCTCTTTTCATTCTTCCCACTTATGCCTCCTCCTCCCCGCAGACACCATCCCCCACATGTTTAGGCCTTTGAGCTTCTGCCACCCAATCTATCCTGTGCTCAGTTAACTAATGTGTACTTTACCATTTCTTCACAAAACATAGTACATGGAAAGGGGATGACGTAATTGACAAAAAAGTGTTGCATTTCAGCTTAAAATTATAAGGAGACATAAAAAGATAGCTCAGAGGAAGTAAAGTAGCTGAACATCAAAAAATGAAACAATAAAACGGAAAGAAAAAAAGATCTGGCAGAACACATTTATTTCTTCTGCATTTTAACTTAGCCACGTTTTTCCTAAACCTTGTTAACTGGAAATGCAGTAGATAGAAAAGTGATTATAGAAATTTTCTTTCAGAAACTTCTGAACCATAACATAAATTTAAGCTTAGGACACAGAGGTCAGATGTACAATGGAATTACAAATGTTAATGTTTCCTGGGTTCTTGCAGCAGAGCTTTAAGTGCATTAGACAGTTATCACCTTGTCTTCGCTATTGTCTACGATGCCTTTTCTACAGGCTGTCTGTAATCCACAGATACAATGGAAAGGCTTCCAGATATTTTCGTTTTTACTCATCTGTTCTTTCGCTCGTTCATTTTTTCCATCACTTCAACTTCCACAAGTGCTACTTAGTAATACTCGGTACAATATGTGCTGTATTTTTTCCCCTATTTTCGGGGTCCTCATTTTGCTGTCTCCCTGTGGCTCCCTTTGTGTGACTGGAACACTAACTGGCATTAGGAATTAGCTATTCAAATGCTACACATTTCAAGAAAGTTGTGGAATTTCAACCCGTGTTCTGATAGTATCTTGTTTCATCTCTACTTATGACATATTTGTTATTCTACCTAACTTCATATGGGAGAATAACTATTGTCCGTTCTCCCATTTGCTTTTTATGATCCTGGAGTTTTCTTTTTTCTCTTTTCACTGTTAATTTGTTATTGTTGTCATTGAGACCGGAATCTTGCGTTGTTGCCTGAGGCTGGAGTGCAGTGGTGCAATCACAGTTCCCTGCACCTTCCTCCACCTGGGCTCAAGCAATCCTCCTGCCTCAGCCTCCCACACCCAGCTAATGTTTTTTCTTTTTCTTTCTCAAATGCCTATTAAATATGATATAATCTCTATTTGCTTTTTCTAGAGTTTATTTCCTCTCTTTACATAGGTGTGTGTGTGTGCGTATGTGTGTGTGTGTGTATATATATATATAACTTCTGAAATGATCTTTAGTTATTCTCATGTTATTTATAAAATAATTTGAACATTTCTTA